CTCAAAGCCCACGAGGAGAGGGCACGTGTTTTTCGAAACAACGTCGACGATCACCTATTGTTGACGCATGCGGAGTGGCAAGCAAGGAGCAAGAAGAACGGCGGAGGCTTCCTCTCAACACCTACAACCAATGATGGCAGCGGTCGAGGACGAGGTCGCGGGGCCGGTCGTGGGCGTGGCCGTGGCCAAAGAGGCCGAGGCGGACAGCAGTACCACGGCAGCGGGCAGCAGCACCACGCTGCCCAAGCAGGCCGCGGAGGGGAGCACGGCGGCCAGGCAGGCCGAGGCGGCTTCGGCGGCAGAGGAGGACGTCCAGGAGGTGGTTTCGGCCATGGAGGTGCAGTTGGTACCTTGACAACGGAGCTAGCAATCACATGACCGGCCACCGAGACAAGTTCAAGGAGCTCGACGAAAATATCAAGGGAACCGTCAAGTTTGGTGATGGATCCGCGGTAGAGATCAAGGGGAAAGGCTCTATCCTCTTTCAGTGCAACAACGGCGATCAAAGGCTACTACCTGAGGTATATTATATTCCAAGTTTGAAATCTAACATTATTAGCCTTGGTCAGATGACTGAAGATGGAAGCAACGTTGTGATTTCTGGTGAGTTCCTGAGGGTGTTTGATAGGAACGGTGCTCTCTTGATGAGGGTGACACGTTCAACTAACCGATTGTACAGGATAGAGTTAAAGACTTGCAAGCCGGCGTGTTTGATGGCGAACATTAACGATCCAGCTTGGTTATGGCATGCTCGCCTTGGGCATGTAAATTTCTTCGCCCTCAAGATGATGACTGATAAGAGGATGGCTTCCGGGTTGCCGAAGATCTTGCACCCGAACCAACTATGCGAAGGATGTCTCGTCGCCAAGCAAGCAAGACTACCGTTCCCTTCGCAAGCAAATTTCAGAGCTCAGAAGCCGCTAGAGTTACTACACGCTGACCTATGTGGTCCCATCACCCCATCTACACTTGCTGGGAATAACTACTTCCTCCTTATCGTTGATGATTTCAGCCGATGGATGTGGGTATACATGTTGAAGGCCAAGAGTCAAGCTTGTGAAACCTTCAAGAAGTTCAAAACAGAGGTTGAGAACGCATGTGACCACAAGGTGAAGACATTGAGGACGGATCGTGGTGGCGAGTTCTTGTCAAAGGAGTTCACCAAGTTTTGTGAAGACTACGGCATCAAGCGTCATCTCACTGCACCGTACACCCCGCAACAAAACGGTGTAGTGGAGAGGCGTAATCGCACGGTGATGGACATGGCGAGAAGCCTACTTAAGAGCATGCATATGCCTGGAACCATGTGGGGCGAAGCGGTGAGGCACGCGGTGTACATCCTCAACCGACTACTAACCAAGGCGTTGTACGATCACAACCGACTACCAACCAAGGCATTGCACGACCACACACCCTACGAAGCTTGGTTTGGTAAGAAACCCCACCTAGAACACTTGAGAGTTTTTGGATGTATGGCGCATGTGAAGATTGCAGGTCCTTCACACAAGAAACTCGATGACCGAAGCACGCCAATGGTGTATATTGGGGTAGAAGAAGGAAGCAAAGCACATCGCCTCTACGACCCTCAACACGGCAGAATTCATGTCAGCAGGGATGTCGTGTTCGAGGAAGGAAAAGAATGGCAATGGAGCGCAGATGGAGACGTAGAACCACTCAGCTGGGTAGAGTTCGCAGCGGAAGGGGACTCAACAGCGGTGCGAACTATCTCGAGGCCGCATCAGATCAAGAATGGCGGATAGCTATGGAGAAGGAAATGGAGGCCATCGAGAAGAACAAGACTTGGATACTCACGGAGCTACCGCGAGGTTCTAAACCCATTGGTCTCAAATGGGTGTACAAGCTGAAGAAGGACAATGAAGGCAACATTCTCAAGCACAAAGCAAGACTTGTAGCAAAAGGGTATGTCCAGCAGCAAGGCGTGGACTTTGATGAGGTGTTTGCACCTGTGGCGAGGCTTGATACCATCAGAATAATCCTCGCCATATCAGCACAGAATGGGTGGGAGGTGCACCATCTGGATGTGAAGTCGACATTCCTAAATGGTGATCTCCAGGAAGAAGTGTATGTGGTTCAACCTGAAGGGTTCGTTGTGAAGAATCAAGAGCACAAGGTCTACAAGCTTTCAAAGGCACTCTACGGTCTACGCCAAGCACCTCGGGCATGGAACACGCGCCTCGACAAGTGCATGAAGGGCATCGGATTTGCAAGATGCACTCAGGAGCAGGCGGTATACACAAGGAGTAACAGAGGGGATACACTCATTGTTGGCGTGTACGTAGATGACTTGATCGTTACGGGCTCGAGGGCGGATGAGATAAAGTTTTTCAAGCAACAAATGATGAAGGAGTTCGAGATGAGTGACCTTGGATTGCTTTCCTATTATCTTGGTATCGAGGTGGATCAGCGAGATGATTGTATTGCACTAAGGCAGGCGGCCTATGCGAAGAAGGTTTTGGGTCAGTTCGGCATGATGGATTGCAACCCGACGCAATATCCTATGGAAACAAAGCTAAAGCTTGGAAAGGATTCCGAAGGAACACCGGTGGACGTGACGGAGTATAGACGCATTATCGGATCTTTGAGGTATCTAACTCACACCCGACCCGATATCACATATGCCGTGGGGATTGTGAGTAGGTACATGGAGCACCCTACAGTTTTGCATCGACAGGTTGTCAAGCATATTTTGAGGTACGTGAAGGGTACTATGTCCTACGGATTGGTGTACAAACGAGGTCGAGGCAATGAAGAGTTGGTGGGATTCACTGACAGTGATCTTGCGGGAGACGTTGATGACAGGCGCAGCACAGGCGGCATGGCATTTTATCTAGGTGACAGTTTGGTCACTTGGACATCACAGAAGCAGAAGACAGTGGCATTATCATCCTGCGAGGCAGAATTTATGGCGGCAACTGCAGCAGCGTGCCAAGGCTTGTGGTTGAGGAGCTTGATTAGCGAATTGATTGGGTGTGAGCCCAAGCCGGTTACACTTTATGTCGACAACAAGTTTTTCCATGGAAGAAGCAAGCATATTGACACACGCTTTCACTTCATTCGAGAGTGTGTTGAGCGAGGACAGATTAAAGTGGAGTTCGTGAGCACGAGCGAGCAGCGAGCGGATATTCTCACGAAGGCACTAGCAAGGGTGAAGTTCATCGAGATGCGGGAGCTTCTAGGAGTAAGGAACTTGGAATCTCGTCCATATTAAGGGGGAGAATGTGAGTTGTAATCAGTCCAAGGATTGTTAGTTAGTAGAATTCTAATTAGAGTAGAATACTAGTTAGTAGATAGGTTTCTAGTTATTGGATAAGATTAGAGTTGTGATCTTAATCCTATATATATGTAAACAATTGTTGAGTTTAGAAGAACGCAAAATAAAACTTCATTAAGATTTTCTCCTGCTTAAATTTCGGCCTGTGTACATCTTCCAAAACAGAGAACTGGATCTCTGTTTGCTGCTGTTGTTCGGTCCCAGAAAAAAGGCTCCCAGGTTCTGTTTTGGTTTGTAAACGAGTATAGGCTCTGTTTTTTTTTTTCGGCCAATACAAAGGAAGGTTCTGCTTGTTTAATTCCTGCAGTCACACTACCATCAAGATTCGGCCACTTGAAGCCAATATTTCTTTTGTGTTTGCAAATTAAGAAGCTTAGGCCGATCCTATTGAAAGCCAACACGGGCTCATCACAACATGTCGATGGTCAATCCTAGAATCAAAACCAAATCGTGTGGATTACAGAGGTGACTCAGGCAAGTTCTAGAGATGGCTTCATCGTGCTCACCTAATATAGGACTTTGTACCGCATAACACTTAGTTCCACACTTCTGACTAGCTAACTAATTCGCTACCACTTGTCAAGCTTTGGGCCCTCTATCACGTTAACGCCATGTGAGATCTAGGACCCATTGAGTGAAACACGTTGTTTGGTTCAAATTACTCAAAAATGACTAGTCATTGTTGCATTTAAATTCACATGACTCATCTTATAAACTCATCCATACTTTTGTATGCTCCAAATATGGGATAAATAAATGAGGCATCACAACACACCTTATGAACTCATTCATACTTCCATAAATTTGCAATGTGGGACAAATAAATGAGGTATTAGTATCACACACCATGTCCTTTAGTTGAAGGCCTTCTTATGAACTCATCCATACTTCCATAAATTCCCAATGTGAGACAAATAAATTAATGAGGTATCATTAATATCACACACCACACTTCCATAAATTCTTCGATGTGGGACAAGTAAATGAGGTATCAGTATCACACACCATGTCCTTTAGTTAAAGGCCTTCTTTGTTCTAAGACGAATTTTAATTTTTCTTTCATTCCATTGTAGCCAAATAAAAATTTTAACCTTAAATTTTGCAGCACAGAATCATAGAAGCATGGCACATGCTAAATATGTTGAAAGCTTCCAAGTTGTTAGGTGTGCAGTTTGATTCACTTTCTTTTGCCTAGATATGTGTTATCCTTGTGTTTAAAGTCACATGACTTTCTTGCATTAAGAATTTGAAGAGCCCTCTTCCCTCATTGCATACTGGCATACTAAGATTAATTGGTCATTTTCTTATAATTCTCCCGCTTTGATATGATATTATTTATCGAAATACTTCCTATTAACATCTCTATCAACTACAGCAACACAAAATCTCTGCTATCACTGAAGAGAAAAAAATAAGAATAAGAGAAAACCGTTAGTTACGTATTTATAGCTCACGTAAGTTAACAGATATATGCACTATAATCTAACTTGTAAATCACCCAAAAGCCATATTTTTCATGCAACATAATGCGTAAACGTAGTATCAGAGATCTTGTTAATGTAAAACGAAGTTGTAAATGAACTGAAAATATTTTTATTAATAATTTCTAGGTAATTGATATGCTCTTCAAGCTCGCATTAGCCAACAGTACATGATTAACATGCGGGGGTCAATGTTGGATATGTTTGAAAAAAAATACTTAGCATACCTTTACTTCTGAGTTGACATTTTGCTTCTGCTGGTGCTCCTCTTTTGCCTTGTCATAGCGCTCGATTACAGATTTCATGCTGATATTGCAAGAATTTCTTATGTTAATCTTCTGTAAGATATCAATCAAGTTGATTTATCTTAGCGTATGATACTGGAAAATTAACTGTGGCATAAATTTATGTCAAGGACGAGAAAAAAGGTGGCAGAACCTTTTTCTTTTTTCCTTTCGGTATTCAATGATATGAAATTCTAATCCATCATTATGTAAATGTACTTTGCATTATTTGTTTGGAAACTACTTGCTTATTTTTTTCATAAAGTTTCTTAATGGTATAATAATAGAACAAGCCCGCATTTTTTTCATTGCTATCCGACAACATCACAAGCTTTTCCTATACGAAACAAACACAAACTGAGGAGAAAATCTCAAAGAGAGAAAATATGGTGATCTATAGATTATATAGGGAAAAACGTTCACATATGGAGTTCAGGAGCTGAGAAAAGGCTATACCAAAAAAGTGCATCATTCTTTGATGTTGTTTTTGTAATTGTACATGGTCATTCACAAGTTACCATAATTTGCATAAAATATGGCAACATTACAGGCAAATTATAATATTAGATGACGTTGAACACTTCAGTTTAGAATGTGGCTCAGATATCCAAAAAAAATGAAACTCTTCTTAAACTCGGGCCAGATATCGGTATGTCATTCAAACTGAACCCTATTTGAAGATATAATTGAATTTTATGTGAGTTAAGAGTAAAGATAATCATGTTTAGCCATTCTTATGACTATTTATAGGCCTCAAAGGCCAGCTCAAGTGTCACAAACAGTCATAAATATGACTATTCCAAATCATAATGACAATTATGACTGTAACAGCAAATGAATTGATTGTTGTAACTGTTGCATTCAAGCTTAATTGTTTCATGTAGTAACGCCTAAACGCGAGGTTCGCGTTTCTACGCAATGCGAGGGTCGCCTCGAGCCTCGCAAATGCAAGAGTCACGTTCCCTCTCACGAACGCAAGGGTCGCGTTCCCTCTCGCAAATGCGAGGATCGCTTCCTCGTGTGAACGCGAGAGTCGCGTTCCCTTGCCATAATGGCAGCCAACGTGGCGCCAAACAGCGTCATCTAGCCCCGATGCCTCCGTGTGCGCCTTACAAAGCGCCACTTAGTGCCTCAGCCCGATTAGCCCCGATCCCCGACCCATTGGCCCACGGTTTATAACCCACAGCTCAAGAGCCCACAAGCCCACGACCCACTAGAACTTATAAGGGATTAAATTGAATAAAAACAATTCTTGGTTTGTCTTTGGCAAGCCTCGAACACAGGACCTTTTAAAATACCAAAACTTTAACTTTCTGCTACGTTGCAAAGGATTTCTGAAAAATACCAGTAATTAATTAATACATAATTTGAAAACTCATTTTTGGAAAGCGGTTTTAACCAAAAAATCTAACAATCCCCCACAAGTTTTTAAACTAGTGTCGTGTAATGGTGTCGTTGTTTCAATCGTTGTGCATAAGGTAGATTTCACAAGGACTTGAATCCCCCTTAGATTAACTGAATAAAAGATAGATGCATGGTGTAGCAGAGGCTTGAACCAGCACATGTCTAAAATCCAGCGATCACACAAGAACAAACTCATTTGCGGTAGTTTTTTTCACTTAGAACCACACTTGCCTTTACCTTTTTCTTTTCCTTGCACATTTATGGCTCTGTGCTTGTCCTGGTTTCTGCTAAGGCTCTAGGTATCTTTCCATAAGACACCATAGGAGACGACCAAATCTCCATCCAGACATAGGTGAGTTCTTTAGGCATGTTTCCTATCAAACATCTCGCATCTGAGATGCTTTGAACTCATTAAATCTGAAGAACCATCCTCTCTCATGATAGGATTCTAGGTGAGTCCTTTAGGCGTTTTCTATCTAACACCCCGCATCAGAAATGCTTTGAACTCATTAAGGTTTAACAGCCATCCCCTTTATATGATAGGATCATCGGTGAGTCCTTTAAACATGTTACCTATCCAACAGCCCGCATCCGAAATGCTTTGGACTCATTAAGGCTTAACAGTCATCCTTTATACCATGATAGGATCTTACTTGCAAATCTTACTTGACTTTTGAACCAATCATCTTATCATTAATAGCGTAATCTTTGAATTAATAACTTGATATAAATGGTAAGTATTTGTAAGACTCACCAAACTTTGTAAATTTTACTTAACTTTTGAACTAATTATCTTATCATTAGTAGCATAAGGTTTGAACTAATAATTTGATGTACATGGTAAATATTTGTAAGACTCATAAAACTTTGAGACCCATTCTAGCAAACGTCATTTCGACGATGTCATTTTTCATACCCTTAGTCAAAGGATCAACCACATTCTCTGAAGACCGGACGTCAATCACATAGATGACTCATTAGCAAATGAGTTCTCTCAAATAGCCATGCTTCAGACAAATGGTCCTCTTCTTTCCATTGACATCGAGATTGCTACCACAACACTCGCTATCTAATTATCACAATAGATAGCAATTGTGCCTTACAATTCTGTCAATGGAAGGTCTCGAAGAAAACAACTGAGCCACTCAGCTTCATCTCCTGTAGCACAGAGTGCGAAGAACTCAGATTTCATCGATGGCTGTGCAATCATAGTCTGCTTCTTAGCCTTCCACGAGACGACAACTCCACTCATGGTGAAAACAAAACCTCCAATAGATCTGCACTCATTTGGTTCTGCGCACTAGCTCACATCTAAATAGCCTTCGATTATAGCCGTATATCCAGTGTAGAATAGGCGCAGACCTGTAGTTCTTTTTAAGTATCTCATCAATCTCTGAACAGCATCCCAATGAAGCTTTCCAGGATTACTTGTGAACATACTAAGCATTCCTACAGCGAATGCTATGTATGGCCTTGTGCAGCTCCATCGCGTACATAAGAATCTCAATGATCTTTGAATACCTTAGCTGCTCTACTGGTCTTCTAGTGTTCGGTCGAAGCTTATTACTGTAATCATACGACACTGACAGTTTTGGCGGATCATAGTAGCCATACTTTCTTAGCATGCTCTTAACATAATGAGATTGGGACAATCCAATACCCTCTTCAAAGTATATAATTTTGATTTCGAGAATTACGTCCTTCATGTTGAATTGTGCTGAAAGAAATTTCTTTGTAGATATTACTATCTACAAATCACTCCCAATGATGAGTATATCATCCACATAGAGGTAGATAATCACTACCTTTCCTTCAGCGATCTTGATATATAGGCACTTGTCAGATTTACTAACTTGATACCCGTTGTTATGAACAACCCCATCGAACTTCTCATGGCAGAGTTTTGGTGTCTGCTTAGGTCCATATATAGACTTAACAAGTTTACAAACTTTACCAACTGGAGCATCAACTCCTTCTGGTTTTTTCATGTAGATCTCTTCTTTGAGATCTCTATTGAAAAATGCAGTCTTCACATTCATCTAATGTATGACAAACCTTTTTATCACTGTCCATGTGATAAGCACTCTGATTATAGTAATCCTGCAAACTGGTGCATAGATATCAAAGAAATATATTCATTCTTTCTGAGAGAATCATTTTGCCACTAGTCTTGCTTTATACTTCTCAATAGTACCATCAAAAAGAAGCTTCTTCTTGAAGATCCACTTGTAACTGATAGGCCTTGAACCTTCAGGTACATCCACCAACTTCCAAGTGTGATTTTGGATCAATAAATCCATCTCATCATCTATAGCTTCTTTCCACAGAAGAACGTCTGTCGACTGTGTTGCTTCTTTGAAAGTTTGTAGATCTCCTTCCATATTATAGGTGATGAAATCATCTCCAAAATCTTTCTGTCTCCTGACATGCTAGGAAGGTGGTTTAGTAACTCCTTCATTATTGACACTTTCAGTTTCTCATGAAACTGGCTCCTCTGGTGCTTCTAACATACCAGCATTCTCTGCATCCCGAGCTTCAATGATCTCTGGTACATCTGACGTACCAGCATTCCCTGGTATATTTTTGAGTAATAAATATTTATCCTTGATAAACTTGTCCTCAAAGAATTCTACATCCCGAGCTTCAATGACAGAGTTGGTTCTAAGGATCAGGAATCTATAAGCATCGCTATCTTCAGCAAAGCTAAGAAATACACACCCATTTGCCTTTGGTCCGAGCTTAGGCCTTGTGATATCTAGAACTCGAATATATGCAAGACGCCCACACATTTTGAGACTATCCAAAAGATCTGGATATCCTAACCATAATTAATGAGGAGTACTGTCAGTTTTGAAATAGGGTACTCTGTTTAGAATCCAGTTAGCCATTAGTATAGCCTCTACCTAATAGCAGATAGGTAGACCAGATGTGATTAGCATCAAATTTACCATATCGGTTAATGTGTGATTCTTCCTTTCTGCAATTCCATTGGATTACGAAGAATACGGAGTAGTAGTTTCAGCAATGATTTCATACTCCTTGAAATATGCTTCCGACTCCTTAGATTGGTACTCTCCTCCTCAGTCCCAGAATATTTTCACCTGAAGTCTAACCTACTTCTCCACACGAGTCCGAAACTCGATAAATTTGCTGAAGGTTTTATCTTTAGATTTCAGTAGGTAGATGTGACAGAAGCGAGAATGATCATCAATGAAGGTGATGAAATACTTCATGATGCCCCTAGTGACGAAGCTCTTGAAGCTATAAGTATCTGAGTGAACCAGATCTAATAGGTTGGTACTCCTTGTTAAACTTGGAAAAGGCTTCCTTGTCAGCTTCGCTTGCGCGCAGACTTCACACTTCTCAGGTTTGTTACCCCCATATTTTGGAAGTAATCCTAACTTCTCTATGCTAAACAATTTTCTATAATTTACATGTCCTAGCCTATTGTGTCATAACATAGAAGAGTAAGCAGAAGAGGATATTTCATTTATAACTGAGTTGGGTAAAATAGTACTGATCTTATACATGCCATCAGTATGATATGCATTGCTAAAATATATTTTCTTAAATGATAACACGACCTTTCGTTCTTAAAAATCTAGCCTCATACATGCA